ACATTCAAGAGAGACCTGCATGTTTGAGACAGACACAGCAATAAAGAGCAATTACAATAAAATATTGTTAACACTGTTACTGTTTGCAGCAGAAGCACTCTTAGCAGAGTGGTTCTCCTAGCAGCATGGTCCTATTAGCAATGTGGTCCTGTTAACAGCGTGGTTCTGCTAACAGTGTGGTCCTGTTAGCAGCGTGGTTCTGTTAACAGTGTGGTCCTGTTAGCAGCGTGGTTCTGTTAAAAGTGTGGTCCTGTTAGCAGTGTGGTCCTGTTAGCAGTGTGGTCCTGCTAGCAGCGTGGTCCTGTTAACAGTATGGTCCTGTTAACAGCATGGTCCTGTTAACAGTGTGGTCCTGTTAACAGCATGGTTCTGTTAACAGTGTGGTCCTGTTAACAGCATGGTCCTGTTAACAGTGTGGTCCTGTTAGCAGTGTGGTTCTGTTAACAGCATGGTTCTGTTAACAGCATGGTTCTGCTAACAGTGTGGTCCTGTTAACAGCGTGGTTCTGTTAACAGCATGGTTCTGCTAACAGTGTGGTCCTGTTAACAGCATGGTTCTGTTAACAGTGTGGACCCATTAGCAACACGATGATAATAATGACCGTGGCAACGGACCATGACTGCCCTCCAGAACCGGGTCCAGCAGACACAGAACATTCAAAGTTCCCTTGAAAACCGAACTCTTCCGTAGAGTTCTGTCTGTACAGGCAGATGGAGGATCATGGAGATGGAAAAAGGGTCAGAGAGTCGGGTTCTGGTGGAAGAACCGAGCTACAGATGGACCGTGTAGGTCTCAGTGAATTCCCGGTAGACCTGAGCGGCTCGGAGAGCTTTGGGTACTATCGAACAATCCTGCCGTGCACCGTGCCAATCTCCGCAGCCCGTCTCTCCTTCCGCTCCTGAAAACAGCGATGGCCGTCTCAGGTTTGTAACAGGTGTGTACCAGATGTCTTACCAGGTAAAGTACCAGGTACCATGTCAGGTGCATAGCCCAGAACTTACCTAGTACCACTAACCCTGTACCAGGTAAGTACCAGGTATTGTACAAAGTATGGTACAAAGCTCGGTAACAGGTACTTGGTACCAAGGACATAATCCAGTACATGTACTGTGACTGTACCAGAAATAAATACTGATAAGTTAAACTTAATTTTTCCGATGCAACACAGAAGAAATATAAATTACCTTTTCCCAAAACCCTTTTAAATAAAATGAAAACAAAGAAACAACGTTTACAATTATTTCTTTCTAAAATAATTTTAAAAAACCATTAAATTCTTATGTCTTGCTTTCCGTCAGTAATATTTATTTATTTTCAGAAACGCATTTGATCAAAATTCATCAAATCAGGACAAAACTTAATCTACTTTGAACTAAATAGAAAATACACATTTAAACAGATTGTTTCATTCATCAAAGACTTCTACTTCAAGGTGAAGTCTAAGTTTTATCATTTGAAAAAAAAAAAAAACTTTATGGATTCAAATTAAAATGTGTCACAATTTGTGCCACAAAGATTTATGCATCTTTCTCAGAACTGTATCTCCAGCTACAGTCCTGAGCAGCTGCGTGCCAGAGAGATACCATCACAAAGTCAAAGTAACTCGAGGCTTTGAAACAACAGACGTCACATTTTGTTGTCCACCACTGAGGAGTGACGAGCTGGAAATACCATCCATCCATCCACCCACCCATCCATCCATCCATCCATCCATCCATCCATCCATCCATCCATCTGTGCATGTTGTGAGCATGATAACTTGAGAAATGTGAGGTACCCACTTCCGTTGGACGTGTGGCTACATCCAGGCGTAAGAAGAGTTCCTTTTGAAACTTGGGTTGCCACGTCAAAAGCCAAGATGGCTGCCACCACATATGCATGTAAACCAGCCGTCCTTGTCATTTGAAGAAACTATGCTTTCTAGTTTTTATACTGATCAAATGTATAGTTACTTCAAATGACTGGGGTGGC